ATAAATGTATAACCTTATGAGCTCAAAATTTGTTATCATGTAATAGTATTCTATGACAATCTCGCCCATCAACTATATCCATATAGGATCAAAGCGACCTTTGACATAGCTATCATGACTAGACCTATCAATGGTCATGTATACAAACATATAGGGGTGTTCATTCGGTTAAAATGGTGGCCGACCGAACCGAAATATCCTTAACCGAATTAATCGAATTTTTTTCTTTAACTGTTAACCGAACCGAACTTTTTTATGAATGTATTAACCGAACCGAATAAATTTTGGTTAATTTTCGAATTAACCGAAATTTTTTAGAGTTTTCGAATTTAATATTTTTAATTAAAAAAACAGTTTACAATATCTAATTAATTTGATTCAAACATTATATTAAAATAAGATATTTGTATCTATCAATTTAGTTCAAAAAAACCAACAATATTGCAGTTCTACAAAATAAATAAGAACAAAGTGCAGAACTGGAAGCACAATTCAATCTGATACAAGCAGTCCCTCTTGTGTTGTTGATTTGACTTGAAACTTCAATCGTTGAATTTGTAAAATTTGCTAAAGGGGTGAAACACTTCCCTCAACAGATGCTGACATATTGGACATTTACTGCAAAATATGAGAAGTAAAGAAAAGTAAGAAAAAATCACATTAAACTGAATGAACCAAATAATGGAAGAAACATGAAAACACCATGAAAGCAAGAAATGTAACACCAAAATCAGTTGGTATTTTTCAATCTCAGTATCTTAATTGGCCAGACGTAGAGATTACTTGATGAACCTTATTAACATAACAATCGCATATAATAAAAAAAAAGTTTAAAGAGGGAAGAAGGAATAAACCTGAACCATTATGCAAATACCCAATCAAAAGAATGAAACTATGAAATTTCAAGAAGTGAGTTAATCATTTTTCATGCGTTTGATGCGCACTTCAGAGTATAACTAAAGACGTTCTATTAAAAAAATCTAACAAATATGAACAAGTTAATAAATATGGCAGCAATCACAAGCTGTCTAATACTAAGAACACAATCTCTGATAGCAACGTTCTAACTCAAGTATCATAAAGAGGCAAGATGGAAGTTCAAGTTACCACAACCAAAAGCCTAATAGACAGTACTAATGGCGATGAGCATGTTTTATAGATTTTACTAACCACTTATGCAAGATTACGTAGCAGGTTTCCTCATGAGCAGATTTATTTTCTAGAAAATTGACCCACGAAAATCTTATGCCCATGCTCCACTACAGTTTTGCCCATGTCTTACACAAATCAAGGCACAATAGAATTGATAACCGGAGCGCATGGGGGCAGCATATTATGGGATGAAAAAAATATTAAAAAATATTTAAAGGTTAATTCGGTTAATTAACCGATTTCGAACTGAATTAACCGTTAATCGAATATCTAAAAAAATCATTAACCGTTAATGGACCGAACTAATTCGGTGGCCGACCGAGTTAACCGAACTAATTCGGTTCGGTCAGTTAACCGAATTAGTTCGAAAATTTGAACACCACTACAAACATAGTCAAATGATATAGGTCAACCATGGAGCGTAGTATGGAAATTATATGTAATGTGAACCGCACATGTCTTTTTTCAACTGGTCATCTTTAAACATTAGTGAGATCAAATTTTACCAAAATCATAATGGATACCACAACAAACTTTATTTCTGCAGAAAATAAATTTAAAATAAATATTCTTAAACTGAAGTTATGTTTATAATAAATGAGCATTAAAATTACAAACTCCCACTAAAACCCAATATCCTTAAATGACATTACACCCACATGAGTAGTGTGCACATGACTGACCTTGGATGATAGTTCTTTAGTAAGCGCGCAGTTATGAGTTTGTACCAATATGCTTTATAAACACATAATCACTCTAAATTTTCTTTAAGAAATAGAAACATAATGTCTATGTTCTTAGACTTAAGATGTTTCTGTTATATATAGAGAAATATTGTAACTTAGTTGTCACAAAATAACTCAAGTGGTCTTTATTATCAATCCATAATTAGCAGTTCATGTGACAAACTTTTGCATTTATATTCCAATAAGTCAAAGTCCATAAACTTGATGATATCTTACTTACTAGAGCTCCGATATGTGAGCATATAACATTTTTGTTCTTAAATATATTGTATGAATTAATTTGGTTGCTATCCAACGATCCATACCCAAATTGCTTAAATATCTACTTAATATCCTAAAATCATTCGCTATGTCTGAATGTGTATAAACCTGAGTATATATTAAATTCTTTATTTATTTTGAAGCATAAGGAACATTTTACATTTCATTGGTTTCAAAATCATCCTTAGGGCACTGATCAAGATTAAACTTGGTTCCTTTAGCAATAAGGGGTATTATTTGGTTTACTCCTACTGAACTTATAATATATATAGTTATCAACCAAATTCATAAAAAAAAACAAGATAATCACTTGGTGAAATTTGTTATACAATTAACGGGAGTAATACTTGAATTTATAAATGGATTTCCTAAATTTGCATATTATTAATTTTGTATCATTAGATACAATTTTCTAATTGCACCGTATAAAATATTTCATTAATGTTACCATTGAGAAACACAATTTTAAAATACAACTTATGTAACTTAAGATCAAATATGAACATCAAGTATTATAATTATCTTGAAAGAGTCTTTCAATGAAATTAAAGCCCTAAAAAACCGCGGGCCATTTCGACACAACTGTTGTCGCGGTAATCAAATCTGAAAATGAGTTTGGAGGAAGTAACTTTTGATCGGTAATCAAATCTGGAAATGAGTTTGGAGGAAGTAACTTTTTTCTACGGGATCAATGATTTTGTTCTTCCAGTGTGTCGCCTGATTTTGTAATGTCTTTTTATCTCAAATGCTTTAGGGTAAAGTACGGATTCTATGGTTTAATAGACCAATTTCTAATATTAACTCTTAATATCTATTTATAAAAATAATTATTTAACTAAAATTAAATTTCAAGTTTTCAGGTAGATGTTTCAGTGCGTGCTTTAGTGTTTCGTTCGTTTTTTTTTCTGTTATAGTGCGCAACCTTGGATCGTTTACATTATTTTTGTTGTATTGTTATCCTGCAACTTTCAAATAGTTTCAGCAGGCGTTTTTTTTTTTGGAAAGATGTGTACTTTGTATTGATAAGGATACAAGGTACACCACCTCATAGACCTCATTAAAAAATGTCCCTAAATCTATTAAAGGAAAGAGAGTGAACCATGAGGTGGAAAGAACAAACAACCAGAAATTAACTCCTGAGATACATGAGAATACAAAGAAAACATCTGACCTGCTATTATGAAAACAGCTACACACATTTTACTTTGTAATGCTGGGCATTGATCTTATTTCATTAATAATTTTATGCTAAAGGAAGAAAAGAAAACACACACAAAATTTAAAATATACGATAATTTAAAATTTTCAAGATACCACTGCTCCCACTAATCCTCTGAGTCCATTGTTAACTTGATGAGGTTTCAGGATTCGAGCAACGAAACCTGAAAAAGCAAAGAGATGAGAGATGAATTAAGCAAATACAACATTTTTTGAAGACCCCAATAATGTAGTCTATTTAAACTTGTATGAAACATTAATTCAGTTGGTATAGAACATATCCAAAACTGTATGAAATTGGTTTAGCAATTTGTAAGTTTAATTTATTCATTGGCAGACACTTATACCTATAGAGGATACAAAATTTAAACTAGATGATGAACCTTCTTCATCTTTTATATTAATTTTAGATCGACTCTTTACTTAGTTCTAAGAATGAACAGTAAATAAATAAATATTTGATTAATGACAGCTCCCAATTTTGGACTGACAATTACATTAATCAAATATTTTTAGTTAGGTTTTTTGGCAGTAAATTGACTCTTTACTCGATTCCCAGAAGATGCAGAATTCATGGTAACGCTAAGTGTTTAATTTTTGCGTTCATTTGGGGCTGTTTAAATTTGTGTTTTTTTGAAGGTAGTGGACAACAAGTCGTTATAAAATAATCATGTATTTAGTTTTGGCTGGTTGGGTGTACTCTTTTCTTTCATTTAGGTTTATGAATATTTTTAACGAGACACAACTCAAATTTATGCATATACGATGATTAATAAATTTTTGTCGAGAAAAAAATATGTTTGTTTTCTACAAATATTATCTTATTCTTTCTGCATGTCGTGGAATAAGAAAAGACTGATGGACAGCCATTGAAAACTCCTCTACCCTAAAGCTAATTCAAACATAGGCCACAATCTGGGAAGAATCGTAACTAGTAATACACACTTATTGTATGACTAGCTCTAATGACGTCGTTGTCGTCTTTAACGATTTGCGTTTTTAAGGTAATTAATTGTGTGTTTTGAACAACTATTTTCTATTTATGATGTATCGTTTGATTTTTTTTTGTTTCCCACAGCAAAATATTTATTAATTACAGTGAAAATCAAATCCACGACTTCACAAAATTATAAGACTTCGTTACTTGGAAAAATATACGACACTAGATTTTCCCACTACTGGGTCCTAGAAAGTACACAATTTAGACCATGTTCCTTGATGACGTGATCTTATTAATTTTACATTGCCACTTAACCTAATTTCAAGAATAAAGAAACCTAAATATTCGATTACATCTATCGTAGCCCCAAATTTTAGACAAAACACTAACAATATTTTCATGTTAGTAAATCACTTTCTTGTTATCTTCGTAACAGTTGCATGCAGATGCAAGGTACAATCGTGGATGATTTCTTGAACCATATTATATATGGAATAGAGAAAGACTTCTTCCTCCATTTTTTTCCAAGTAAATTGTTTACTCTAAATGGGATTCAAACATAAGCCACGTCCCAGGAAGAAACCTACTAATTCATTAGAATCTTCGGATCACTATCTACAATCGATATAAATATAGATGTAATTAATTGAGAGATTTGCGTTCCATAAGTGGTGAATAATTAAGTTGCAGAGTAATCTAAAAGATGGTGAGACAACCATATCTAAAGAAAGGAACATGGACTCCTGATGAAGACCAAAAGCTGATTGATTATATCATGAGATATGGCATTTGGAATTGGAATGAGATGCCCAAATTTGCTGGTATGATCACTTTAATGAACATGTAATGAAACACTTGAATTTCGTCGAGATTTTCTAATTAGGAGTTGGTTTTTGATTTGTAGGGTTGCAAAGGTCAGGGAAGAGTTGCAGGCTTCGTTGGATGAATTACTTGAGGCCTAATATAAGGCTTGGAAACTTCAGCAGGGAAGAAGAAGAAACCATAATCCACCTTCAAAAGGAGCTCGGAAACCGATGGTCAGCCATAGCAGCAAGGCTTCCACACAGAACTGACAACGATATCAAAAACTACTGGAACACCCACTTGAAGAAAAGGGTGATATTGGAGAATAACAAATCATCATCAGTAACCACAGAAACCCATTCCAGTATTGAGGAGAATTCACCTGGTGCTGATTCCTCAAGCTTGCTTAAAATTCCTACAATGGCTGATTTTCCAGAACCATTGACTTACGGTGGTACTTTTACTTCATCTGAAAACAGTTATAGCATGAGGGAAACTTTTGTTTCATCTGAGAACTATTGGGAGATACTGAGTTTTATGGAGCAGCCATTAATTGCAGAAAGTTTTGATTGTGATTCAGTGTCACCAAATTCTCAGTTGTGGCTCAACCACCATCAACAATACTATGATCCTGTGGATGATTTCTGGGCCAATCCATTATTTTCGTAATGCATAAGCAAAACATCCTTGTTTTGTTAGGAGATTTTGATTTGAGCTATGTCTTTGTCAGTCCTTACTGGTGTTTATCAGTTCATAATAATACTTTCCTATAATTGGACTGAATTTTACTTCAATAATAATAATTGTTATTATAATATATAAGAGAATGTAAATTCTAACGTGCTTAAGGAGGTAATATTCAGTTCACCCTGTTGCGGAAGACGACTATCGGATAGAGTAAAATCGCAACTGATAATTTGAAAAAATAAAAATGAAGATAAAAGAGATACAAAATTTACGTGGAAAATCCCTAAAATAAAATAGGGTAAAAACCACGGGCAACGGTAGAAGAATTTCACTATGAGAAGATAAGAATTACAACATCTCTCGATCTACCAAGGAGAAAACAATGATAATTCTCTCTTGATAAAAAGGAGAAAACAACTCTCAATAAACTCTCTAAATTCTCTCTAGTATTGGAAGAAAGCTAGAATGCTTTGGGATGGTTTTGAAGCTAAATGAGCTAGGGTATTTATAGTTGAAACTTAAGGACTAATTTGTAAATACCCTAAATTACAATGACTAAAAATGTGTTTTTACCATTGTCCAATTTCAATTAAAACCTAACCACTTTTCGGTGCCCTCCCAATTGTTTGACAATTTTAATATATTTTTTTTAATTATAACTTTCCACCTTTCGGTGGAATGCAACAATTTTCAACAATCTCCCACTTGAAGATTTGATTGGAACAATCATATCTTCACACCATTATTTCTACCTTGTACCTTTCATGTTGCTTACGTTTCTAACAGGCCACAGGAGGATCGACACCAGGTAAATTTATCAGTATTGATTGCCTTCGTCATGAAATCTGCTATGTTGTCTTTGGTATGGATCTTCTGCATATCTACCGTTCCTTCTTCCACCTTTTCACGAATGAAATGGTACTGAACTCGTATATGCTTAGTCCTTGAATGAAATGTTGGATTCCTTGCTAGATGCAAGGCGCTTTGACTGTCACAAAACAGAGAGACATACTCTTGATTGTGCCCAAGCTTCTCCAATAGCATCTTCAACCAAATTGCTTCTTTACTGGCTTGTGTAGCTGCTACATATTCTGCCTCTGTTGTGGACGTAGCCACAACTGACTGCAATTTTGAAACCCAGCTTACAGCTCCACCAGCAACTTTGAACACATATCCTGTAGTAGATTTGCTTTTATCCAAATCCCCTGCATAGTCAGAATCTACATACCCATTGATTAGTAAGTTTGATCCTCCGTAACATAATGCAACATTTGAGGTCCCTTTGATGTATCTTAGGATCCTCTTTACAATATTCCAATGCTCTTTGCCTGGATTCACCATGTACCGACTAACCACTCCCACTGCTTGTGTAATGTCTGGTCTTGTGCATATCATAGCGAACATTAAACTTCCCACTGCTGATGCATACGGTACTCGAGACATCTCCATCCTCTCTTCTTCACTGCTAGGACTCATACTGGAGGATAATTTGAAGTTAATAGGAAGAGGGGGTACAATCTTGCATGCTAAATCGTGACAAGATTTTCTTCAAGTAATTCTTTTGTGAAAGCCAAATCTTCCTATTACTTCTGTCTCGGTGAATTTGCATCCCTAGAATCTTGTTTGCTGATCCCAAGTCCTTCATTTCAAATTTCCTAGCCAGTTGTGCCTTCAATTCTTCAATATGATCTTTGTTGGGTCCTGCAACCAACATGTCATCCACATACAACAACAATATAACAAAATCGTTATCACCAGACCTCTTGAAATAAGCACAAGGGTCTGCATTAAGTCTGTTGTATCCAAGGCACATAATGAAGGAATCAAATCTCTTATACCAACACCTCGGCGCCTTCTTTAGACCGTACAAAGATTTGTTCAACCTGCAAACCAAGTTCTTCTTTTCGTCTTCTTCAAAACCTTCAGGTTGGAGCATATAAATCTCTTCTTCAAGATTTCCATGAAGAAAAGCTATTTTAACATATAGTTGTTCCAAATGTAAATTCAATGTAGCACACACAGCCAAGACTACTCGAACTGTTATCAGTCGAACCACAGAAGAAAAAATTTCATTGAAATCAATACCTTCTTTCTGAGTATATCCTTTGACCACCAGTCTTGCACGATACCTCTCCACTTGATCGTCACCATTTCGCTTGATTTTGAAAACCCATTTGTTACCAATTGGCTTCCTTCCTTGTGGTAGTGGCACAAGGTCCCATGTATTATTTTTATGAAGGGCTTCGATTTCTTCTTGCATCGCCATCATCCACAGTGAAGCATCTGAGCTGTTTATTGCCTCCTGGTATGTTGATGGCTCACCATCCTCTGTTAAAAGGCAGTATGCAATATTACCTTCTATAACATAATCCGAGTGCCAATTGGGACGTCTTCTTACACGATCTGATTGATGAGTTGTTGGAGCTTCAGAACTCTCTGGTACTTGTTCATCATGTGTTGGTTCTGCTTCAGAAGAATCTCTTTCTTCAAACTCTTTTTCCACATGTATCTGAGTAGTCTCTGACTTTTCAGCGTTATCATCGTCTTCTTTTCTTTGTAGTTTATCTTCTACAAAGATAACATCCCTGCTAATGATTACTTTGCGGGCAGTGGGATCCCACAAGCGATACCCCTTTACTCCATCAGCATACCCCAAGAATTTGCATTTCCTGGATTTTGGATCCAGCTTTGAAATTTCTTGGGCGTTGTACATCACGTACACAATACTTCCAAATACATGGAGGTTTGAATAATCAACTGGTTTACCAGTCCACATCTCCATTGGTGTCTTCAGCTCTATTGCAGTTGATGGAGCTCGATTCACCAAATAACAGGCGGTAATGACTGCTTCTGCCCAAAATGATTTTTCTAGGCCTGCGTCCCTCAACATTGCTCTTGTTCTTTCTAACAAGGTTCTGTTCATCCGCTCTACCACTCCATTTTGTTGAGGAGTGTTCGCCACTGTGAACTGTCTTTTGATGCCTTATTTCTTGCAAAAGTCATCAAATTCTTCGCTTGTGTATTCTCCTCCATTATCTGTTCTGAAACACTTGATCTTATTTCCAGAATCAAGTTCCACCCGTGCTTTGAAGTTTTTGAAAGTTGAAAACACGTCTGACTTCTTCTTAATAGGGTGCACCCAACATCTCCTGGAGTAGTCATCAATAAATGAGACAAAGTATTTTGCTCCACCTAGGGACGTTACTGGTGCTTGCCATACGTCAGAGTGAACCAATTCTAGAACACTTTTGCCTCTAGAATTTGATGTGTTGAATTTCAACCGGTGCTGCTTACTTGTTATGCAATGCTCACACAAAGGAAGTGATACCTTTGTTAAGCCTGGAAGTAGCTTTTGCTCCACAAGGACTTTCATTCCTTGTGCTGACATGTGTCCAAGTTTCTGATGCCATAGCATTGCCGAATCTGAACTTCATGAGGCAACAGAGGCTTCTGCTTCTACCAAAGTCTCTCCCTTCAGCATGTACAAGTTTGCAGCTATTTTTTCGCCTTTCAGTACCACAAGCGCTCCACGGAACACTTTCATGATTCATTTCCGTGTTTCAATCTTGCTTGCATTATTATCCAACAATCCGTAGGATAATAAATTTTTCTTCAAGCCTTTCATGTGCCGCACATCTAGAACAACTTTAATTGTTTCATCATACATCTTTAATTTGATGGTTCCCACGCCAACGATCTCTAAGGCATGATCATTGCAACTATAAACAGATCCTCTTGAGACAGGTTCATAATGATGGAACCATTCTCTTCTTGAGGTCGTGTGATATGTTGCTCCCGAATCAATGAGCCATATATCTGCAAATCGTTTTCTTCATTCCACGGTGGTTGACGCTTCACAGCATAGAGCATCTCCATCATCTGAAGTGTTTGTGGTATTGCCTTGTGGATTGGAGTTTTTATTTAGACTCCAACAATCCTTCTTCAAATGACCCTTCTTTCCACAGTTGTAACACTTTAAATTCTTCTTGCTCCTCGACTTCGATCTACCATGTTTGTGACTGCTGCTTTGGCCACATTCTGTTGATCTCCCTCTCATCGTTGTCAACGTTTCTGCTTGTTGCAGATTTACTTGTCTGTCTTCCTTGTTCTTGCGTCGATTTTCTTCTTGTAGAACAGCAGCTGCAACGTCATCGAAGACTAGACTGGTGACATTACTGTTTTTCAAGTTGATGATGAGTTGATCATACGAATCAGGTAGACTTTGAAGTAGAAGTTCAGCACGTTCTTGTTCTCCTATTTTATAGCTTAAGGATGTAAGCTGAGAAAATAAAGTGTTCAGTGTATTTACGTGATCCGTCACTGAAGTAGATTCTGGCATACGGAGAGTGTACAATTTTCTCTTAAGGAAAATTTTATTGTGGAACGATGTGGCCTCGTACAGTTTGGTGAGATGATCTCATATCTCCTTAGTTGTATTCTTCTCCTCGATACTTGACAATACTTCATCTGCTAATGCTAGATGAAAGTTTGCCATAGCATTTCCGTCCATTTCGATCCATTTGTTATCGTCTGTGAAATCTATTGGCCTTTCACTGATAGCTGCTAGACAACCGTCTTTCCTCAGGATGGCCTTCATCTTCAATTTCCAAAATGAGAAATTTCTCCTATTGAACTTTTCAATATCAAATTTCGTTGCCATTGCTTCGTTTACGGATAACTCCCACTATTTCACTATCGTGAATAGTTCTCTGGAACCTTCAAAGAATGGGTAATAACTTCTTACTTTCTTATTGGAGGATCCACCTTTTGGTGGCAACCACAAAGACAATAAGCAGATATTACACACTCTAATCTAGCTCCGATACCAATTGTTGCGGAAGACGGTTATCGGATAGAGCAAAATCGTAACTGATAATTTGAGAAAATAAAAATGAAGATAAAAGAGACACAAAATTTACATGGAAAACCCCTAAAATAAAATAGGGTAAAAACCACGGGCAACGGTAGAAGAATTTCACTAT